ATGGAAAATTGATATTTGGCGAAGTGAATCATTTTGTAGAACAAAATCTCGCTTGATCAACTTCTCTGTTATATCGTACATTATTACATCTGTGTTACATCTTTTCTTTATTACATCTTTTCTTACAGATCAGTGCTGATACTTTTTTTTTTTTAATGGGAAAAGTCAATGCAATGGTGAATAATGAAAATACGGTAATGGCGTCGAACTTTGTGTTAGGTCATCCAGCCAACACCAAGTCGCGCCTTGACCTCGCTTCCTCACGCAGACTCCAGAGAAACTCGAAGGTCGCGGCCTCATTCCCGCTCCTCCTGCCAGCCTTCCTGGCCGGCGGGAGTATAAAAGCCCCGCGCTGCAGCCACGGCGTCAGTCGTCTCGCAGCGCACCCATCACTAACATGGTATGTCTAACAAGTTCTGCACTCGCGCTCTGTAAATCAATTGAAAGACCCGATTCGAAAGAAGAAAAAGAATACACATGGAATAGCTTAAGGCCTACGTTCATGCATGAGAAGTTGGTCTCTCTACATACCAAGGGTAAAGAATTACGAGAAAATAATGATAATGCATTCTCTGCTTCCATTAGACTCGAGTTCTCTTCACCGTCGTGGTCCTGTCCCTCGTGGTCGCCTTGGCCGCCGCCGGTGGATTTGGCGGTGGACACGGAGGCGGATTTGGCGGTGGACACGGAGGCGGATTTGGCGGTGGACACGGAGGCGGATTTGGCGGTGGATTCGGAGGATCTGGAGGCTATGGAGGCAGAGGATTTGAGGTAATGTCCTTTGTGCAGAATATTTGTACTACGAACATAATGAACATCAATTAACGCCTATTAAAAAATCATGAAATGATGAAATCTCTGACGGATCTTCACTCTCATATTCCATGCAATAACAGGTGGACATGGAGGCTTCGGAGGAGGATTCGGAGGCGGTCACGGAGGATTCGGAGGGTCACGGAGGATTCGGTCACGGAGGATTCGGAGGCGTCACGAGGATTCGGAGGCGGTCACGGAGGATTCGGAGGTGGATTTGGAGGTAAAATATCAAGTTCAAATCAAACTACCTATTGCAGTGATATTACCGAGAACACGTTACTCCTCAACTTGGATATCTTAATAATTATTTCTTTATTTTCAGGACGATATGGAAAGTAAGCGCTTCGACGATCTTTCACCTCCAGGAGGAATGTATATTGAAAAGTGTATTCCTATTTTTTATATTAAAGTGTAAATTCAACGTATTCCTGATTTTCCTCCTACACTATAATGCACATATACATGAATAGTTTCTGTGCCAGTTTCAAACTAATATATCATAAGGTATTGTGCCACGGTGGACGTCAGTTTGATATGTAGATATGTCAGGCTAAAGAATACTATGAAACATATCTAGATCATATTGATGAGGACACAACTGTCATTATTGATTGTCATGACCATTTCAAGGAAGAATGTAGATCGTTCACATGAAAAAGTGAAATAGCAATGTAAAGGAAATTACCACATTCTGAAAACGAGAATACAGCCTTTGTCTCACTGAAGACAAAACGGACATGTGACACTCTAAACATACGATGCAATGACTGGTATCGGAAAATGGCTCCGCAATACTATGAAATCACAGACAGCTCTCTAAAACTGTTGTTTTCGAATTGTTCACATATATAGGTCATTAGAAGTGATCTACAGAGAACTTGATGCGTGTATAGTTCTTCAAATATCATGTATGTACTTCTTTGAATGTTGCTGGCAATTAAAAAAAAATGTATAAAACAAATCCTCCAAAGCGAAATAATGCTTTCAATTATGAGTTTGTATATCTGTATGTGAGATTTTGAAGCGTTTAACTTATCTGTGTGGTATAATGTCTCGTGTCCCTGATCATGTGTGATGCACATCGTGCCTGCAATATAACTGCACCAACATAAGACGCATACCTTTATCCTCTTAACTTGCGATACTAGAATTTTTGCGACTACTATCCAGCCCCCACTCACCATCCTACACCGACAAATAACACAAGATTATAAATAGTGTGTCCCTCTGCCCTCATCGTCACCTCATATACCTACCAACTCCACAACACACCTACTGCATTTCTGTGGCCCCGCTACTGTACTGACTACCATGCAATCAACAACTTTCCCAGCCCACCACCCGCTCCACAGCGCCTCCGGCACCTGCACTTCCTCATATCTTTCCGGATACACACAAAGCACCCAGGCGCTTCCCTCCCTGCACGCACGCTCGACCCCGAACACCACACGACCGTCTCCCGCCTGCACCCAGACCGAGCGCTCCAAGGCTTTCGGCGGATCAACGCGCAGCACGAGGCCCGATCGGAGACTGGGAAGGCAACACGACGGACCCGACGAGGACTCGGAGCGCTGGCGAGAGAGTCGCACGAACCCCTCTTAAGCGGAATTTGACATCAAGAAAACGCGCGCAGCCAAGCAGATTATGGAATGAACACACCATCCTACACAGCGGTCGCTGTCTGCTTCCTCCCCATAATATGTCTATCCTTGGAATAGCCCCTCTACCTACGCTTATCACCCGAATAACAAATTCTTTCCCTAATATATCAAACGCTGACTACCAAATTTCCCTTCACTATTTCAAATCCCCTGTGGAAAGTCAATGCACATGCGTGAATAACTTAAAATACGCAAGCTGGCGTCCGACACTTCTGTTCATAGCCGCGTCATACAGCCACACCC